CTGCAACAGTTTTCACCAACGCCAAAAGGCTACTAACATCATGTGTATTTCTTTAACATAGTGAAATTTTTCACAGCGAAAAGAAAAAAGAAAAGAAAATAGACATAGAGTTTTCATAACTCAACCAACGAAATCGAAATCGTTATTCGAGTTGATTAAAGAAAGAGTCATCGTAACTTTGCTGATTATTTCTGCTGTATTCACACATTTTCAGCTAAGCTTTTAATATGTTCTCAAATATTTATCAACCTTAAACATATTTAAAAACTAGAGATATTATACAGGGTTCGTACCCTTTTTCAGAAACAAATTTCCAGGACTTTCCCAGGACTTTTTCAGGACTCCAGGACTCTAAAATTCACATTAACCCTTTCACTCCCAAGATCTCAATTTTAATTCTCCTTACTGTCTCCCATACAATTTATATTTTTTACTTGAGTTTAACAGATTTCCAGCACTTTCCAGAACCAGTAGCCCTTTTCCAGGACTTTCCAGTCCTGGAAAATGCCACAGTATAATTCCAGGACTTTCCAGGTTTTCCAGGACCCGTAGAACCCTGATTATATGAGTTCGATGTACGTTTTCACACGAAAGTGGGAAAGTCCAATTTGTCATGTTTTACTGNACACAAAATCCCCATTATCAAGTCTTAGTGAAGAGATATTTTTTATAGTGTAAACAAGGCTTAATCTCCTGAAATTTAAGTTAGGTCGACCTTGCTCAAATAGCGCGCTTGGATCAGTTTAATTAGATAAATTAAAAGTGAAATCAGGAGCCATAATCGGGAACGGAGACCGTGAGTCTTAGGATCCGCGCGCACCCATGATATGGGACAATTTTTACTATCTTTAGAACAAATTGCGCCATCCTGACGTCATATATCCGCGCGGATCCACGCAAATGTCGGGGGCTCTCGCGTGGATGTTGTCACGTTGTGTGATCAAATGGTGAGAGTTGCGAGATTCTCTTGCAGATTTTTCACAGCGATGGCAGGGAATATAAGGCAGGGAATAAGAACCAGGACTCTTATATGTAGTTTTATGCTCTAAACTAATGGAAAAGGTGAGTTTTTCAGGGTCGAAAACATGACTTCGATTTCGCGCTGTGAATGAGTAATATCTGCTTGCGCTAGTTGTACGCGTAAGCTTTTGCGCTTGTTCTGTAAAGAAAAGTTATGTAAGAAAATTCTTTACTCTAGTATCGAGTTAATTTGTGAGTTTCCCAAAAAATGCTTAATCATAACCAAACCCTGTTTTGATAGTTTCTTATTATTTCTGTTTGTTTGGCGAGTTTGCAAAAGTTTTTGAAAGGAAAGTCTGACGCGTACAGTAAGTAACTCATTTGCATAGTGCAGCACGTGCACTTTCAAGTCCGAGTCGGTGTTTTCAATTGTCAACAAATCTCGACAAAGATTTCTTTCGTTGTCTTTTAGGCCGAGATGCTGCAACAATTTTCACCAACGCCAAAAGGCTACTAACAGCATGTGTGTTTCTTTAACATAGTGAAATTTTACATTGCGAAAATAAAATAGGAAAGGAGTTTTGATAACTCAACCAACAAAATCGGAAATCTTTATTCGAGTTGATTAAAGAAAGCGTCATCGTAATTCGCTGATTATTACTGGTGCATTCACATATTTTCAGCTTTTTAATATGTTCTCAAACATTTATCAACCTTAAACATATTTAAAAACTAGAGATGTATGAGTTCGATGTACGTTTTCACACGAAAGTGGGAAAGTCCAATTTGTCATGTTTTACTGACTGTACAAAACACGCATCGGCGGGCGCTCTTATTCATCGACAACAGTCAATTTATTGGATTTTAACACAAACAAAACTAAGCAGCATCTACAGACAAAAACTTTATTGTCACTTATTGGGCCTTGATAAAACATCAAGCGTTGCTGACAATTTAGGCGAAACTCAAACTTGCAATTATTTTTTTTTTACTGTTCGGTCGAGATAGACTCTGGCGAAATCCGCGCAGGCATGTGGAAAGAGGAGAGAAACTTTGAAGTCCTGAAACGCTGCTATATCCAAATATGTCCAACTAGTTTTTTGCTGTGTTTTGGAAACGCTGTTGATCTTCAACATATGTGAAATTTAGAGTGGAGTAATGTGAAGCTCTTGTAAAAGAAGCAGCGGAACACAACTTGGTCAGTGATATCATAAAGCGGCACATAACTGAATTCGACAATGTCTTACTTCACTCAAACTGGAGCAGCTTACGACGAAAATACTGAGGTAAAATTCCAACAGACATGAACGTATTGAGTTGGGGGCCAAAAGCATCAAACATTTCGGGAATTTCGGACGCCATTTCCCCGCGCTACACCGCAAAAATCCTCGCAGCATGTACGCGCGTGTGCCGCACGGGATGGCGCAATTTGTTCTAAAAATAGAAAAATTGTCCCATATCATAGGGACAGCCCCAATACTAGAAATGGCGCGCGTTTACGGTCTCCGTCCCCGATTATGGCTCCTGGTGAAATAACATTTATGATCGCTTTCATAATAACCTATGTGTTCAGGAAAAATCAATAAGTTTGCCCCAGTAAATGTTATGTATTTATTTCTCACCAGTCGCTCCTAGACTCTTGTTGTCAACCAATCGATTGATGGCTGAGGAGAAACAAAACGTTCACATCGCCTGCAGTGCTACTGGCCAGCCGCTTCCTAGTATCACGTGGTCCAAAGCAGTTGGTAATGTACCCGAAGACAGAACTGAAGCAAAGAATGGAAACCTGACAATCTATAGTGTGACTAAAAATGATGGTGGAACATACATTTGTAAAGCAAAGAATATTCTGGGATCAGCAACAGACACAG